ATGGAAATCGAAACACAAGGAAGTTGATTAACTTGCCTGAAGTCACACAGCTGGTAAACTGGGGAGCTGGGATCGGAACAGCTGGTCAGGATCCAGGCTGCAGACACACACCATTACGCTCTCTGGCTCCATCACGCATTACACAGTTAACACGGATTACAAAGATGTCAGACCCCAGCCAACAGCCTCCTTGACACTTTAGTCATCAACATCATTCCAGCAAGACTAGAGAATCGGGGATGCTTTTCACAACAGCCAGTAATAGGATGTGGCCTGAGAAACTAAAGGCTTCATGTGCTCTGCTGCCCACTCAGCAGCTGTCCTCAGGGGCTGGCTCCCAAGGGCTATGACAGCTCTCGGAAGCCAGTGCCTGCCTCAGAGCCCACATTTGTCATAGGCTGGGGATGTTCCTTATGCTAAAGCCATTCATCCTGAGGCACAGGACTACACTACATGGGTTAATTCAGTCCAAGTTGGTGTGCTGGGACCTGCCACAGTGTACCCCAGTCAGGAGGCCTGACCTGGCATCCTAGTCTCAACAGTTTTACTCACTGCCCATTCATTTGTTCCACATTCAGGGGGCTTGTGGGAAAAAACACATCAGTGTAGGCCACCGACCCTGCCTCCCATTGAAGACATGATTTTTCTCTCTACTCTCTTACCCTGTGCTGGCTGTAAGAATTGAGAAAAACAGTATTTCGACACTTGAAAGTTCTCATCCCCTTTCCATGTCCTCTTGGTGACAAAAATGCTGCCCCAGAGCAGAACTTTCACCTTAAAACAGTGTCCACTGTTGCAGAAACAATCATAGCACTGCATGTGTAAATATTTTCTAATTAAAGCGACTAAAAATCACCTCCCAGTCTCTTAGATGGGGCATAGGAGAAGGTGGAACTGAAGAGCTGAGATTATAGGAGGGTCTCTCAAAGGAGTGGTGGGTGGGGTAAGAACATTTAAGAGGACTGCTTTGCACAAGGCAGGACACAATTTCAGAACAGATGTGGAGATGATGAGCGTTTACAAAAAAGGGTCTGAATTAGTATGATCCCCCTCCTTCCCGCTGGAGCCTGGAGGGGGCCTCTGAGCTAACACCAGCTTCCTGGCTTATGGGACAGCCGTGTGGCTGCTGGTAAGGGAGGAGAAGATTGCAATACAGTGTGCTCAGATGGGATATCTGCAGGGAACTGCTGCTGGATTAAACAAGATACCTTTGTATTGTGAGATAGATTCCCAGTGTGACATGAACATCTGAACTGGTTAAGTCGGTGGCAGTGATGAGGTGAAGTCGCAGGGGGCTGAGGGAAGCTCTGTGTTTGCACTTCACTCTGCAAGCCTCACTGTGTCAGCACGGGGCTGAGCTGGGCCCCATCTGAAATGCTTGTTCTCCTTCCATCCTGTCAGATCTCTCTGTGCCAAGTCAGGAGCAACATACTCTTACATGGTACTGCACCCCCAATTATGTAAATAAATCACTGGGATCTAATATTTGATATGCACAATTTCACTTCACAGAACTTTTTTTTTCAGGGCCAGATCTCTCTGTATGTTACCATATGCCCATGTTAATGCGTTACCAGTCACTAGTAAATATCACAGTATTGATTCCAGAGATAGTTCATGTCCAGATGGATATTTCTTTTTTTTTTTTTTTAATATATCTTTATTTATTTCAGAGAGAGGAAAGCAGAGGGAGAGAGAGAGATAGAAACATCAATGATGAGAGAGTCACTGATTGAGCCCACAACCCAGGCATGTGCCCTGACCGGGAATCAAACCCCGATCACCTGGATCCTAGGTTGATGCTCAACCGCTGAGCCACGCCTGGTCGGGCGGGTATTTCTTCTTGTTGGTAGAGAAGAAAGGAAAAGAGGTGAGAGGCGGCTGGGGGTAGGGAACTTGTACTGGTCCATTTACCTCTCTAGTCGGTTCCCTTGTCACCAAGGGCATCAATATATCAGCAAGTCTGGGGGCAGGCAGCCTCTTCATACCACCTCTGGGCCTTGCACAGCTCTTCTCATTTGCTACCACCTGATGAAGACCTAAGCTTCCCTTCTTATGAGTCTACCTGTTCATCTGAGAGCATGCCCTGGGTCCGAACGGGCGAAGAAAAGGGTGTGTACTCTCAGATCTCGTTTCCTGGCTGACAGCTTTAAGGAATGGTCTCTGAGCACACTTTTAAGAGCTGGGTCTGAAGCAGAGCTAACTGGTGCACAGGCAATGAAGTCCTTGACCTTGGCCTCATTAGCGCCATTCTTTTACCTACTGAGCTCATCCCCACCACCATCCTAACACTTGAAAGCACAGCTCATTAAAGT